GCTAATAACAGATGTTTGCACATGCATCTCTAATCTCTATGTATCTGATTATTACTACTCACAGTCGGTTACACTCGGATTCTTGGTATCGGAGCATGGATATAAAGTCGTCAGGTAGATTTCAATGGTAATGTTTTCCACATCTACTAGTTATTATATATATTTTAATCATTTAAAAATTTTTTTATTTTATGTGTGTGTTTTGCCTGCATGTAAGTGTACCACATGCTTGTAAATGTACCACATGCATGCAGTGCCTGTGGAGGACAGAAGAGGGCGTCAGATTCCCTAGCGTTAGGGATGATTATTGACTCCATATGGGTGCTGGGAAGTGAACCCAGGTCCTCTGCAAAGATCAGCCAGTGCTCTTAACCCCTGAACCATCTCTCAAGCCCTGACCAAGGAAGATTTAGAGATAAGACACTGAGCTGGGGTGTGCGATGCCTTATTCCTGGCAATAGAGAAGCAGTGACCAAAAGCAGTAACCACAGAGGAGAATGTGACTGTCCTTTCCCAACTGTAAGTTTTATGACATTAATTTATTCGTCTATGTGTGCGGCTGCACTTACGCCACGGCGCATGTGTGGAGGTCAGAAGACAACTTGTGGGAGTCAGTTCTCTCCTTCCACCATAGGTCTGAGGGATGGAACTCAGATGGTCATGTCTGGCACCAAGCCTCTTCACACACTGAGCCATCTCGCCAGCCCTTTCCTTTTTTTTTTTGGTCTTTTTGAGACAGGGTCTCCCTGTAACCCCAGCTGTCCTGGAACTCACTATGTAGACCAAGCTGGCCTTGAACTCACAGAGATCTGCCTGCCTCTGCCTCCCGAGTGCTGGGATTAAAAGCATGTGCCACCACGCCCAGCCTCTCTTTCACATTTTTGTGTCACTGCCACCAGATCTGAAATTATAAGAAAGGACAAGAAGTATTGAAGGAAGAACTGAAGTGTCCTGCCCTGTTTGCCTTTATAATCTTTTGTCCCACAGCATTTTAAAGTTTTCCTGAAACTTTGCACCAACCCCGAGCTCACTCGTGAAGCACGTGAATGGTGAGTGGCAGTGTCGGTTTCTCACACTCACGTCGTCTTTCTCTCTCATTTTCCTAGATCTTTGAAAGAATTCTCTTTATCTGGGCCATCCGACACCCCGCCAGTGGGTATGTCCAGGGAATTAATGACCTGGTCACTCCGTTCTTTGTCGTCTTCCTCTCAGAATATGTGGGTAAGAAGCGCAAGTGCCGGGCCGACTGTGCGGGTCGCTCTTTCTTATCTACCATCTGCTTGTTTGTTTTCCCAAGTGTGCAGCTGGTGGGAACAGCTTGCTAAAAACCAGACAGGCAGTGGCTCTGGGATACCCAGGGCTGTCTGAGCAGTGAGGCAGCCTGGAGTTTATCTCTTGAGATGATTGCAGCTCTCACCTACAAAGACCTGCCTCGTTCCAAGAATGGCCAAGGGGGTATGCTTCTGTTCTGCCATAGCAGATGGTTTAATGGAGGTTACTTGAGGATTCTCTGAATGTGTCTTAGACTGGTGTCTCAGACCGGCATTTTAGATGGTGTGTCAGCATCCATGCTGGATCTCAGGAGCAGGGTGTGGGAATGCAGAGGACAAGGGGTGTGGCACCAAATCCAGCTAGAGGGATGGAGTGGGCAGAAGGAGCTCTAGTCTGGGACCCTGGTGCTTCCCACTCCTCTGCCCTGACTCTCTGGGCTATTCTTGTTTCAGAGAACTTAATTTTCAGGAAGTGCCGAGGCTTTCCCACTGTCCCAGCCTCAGTTTAGCGGAGGAGCCTGTTTCTCCTGTTTCTCAGTTGCTGTGCTTAGAGGTTCACAGGAACCCATCTGTGATCGCTGCTGCTACCTTAGTCTGGTGAACAGGCTTGCATAGGAATTGTGAATATTGGAAGGACTGGGCATGGTAATACATGTTTGTGGTGATACACTTGGGAGGCTGAGACAGGAAGACTGCAAGTTCCAGCCTGGATTGCCAAGTGAGAGAGACCCTGTCTCAAAAGATCACTTGGGAGACAAGAGGCAGGTGGCTTTCTGAGTTCAAGGCCAGCCTGGTCTACATAGTGAGTTCTAGGCCAGCCAGGGCTGCATAGTGAGACCCTGTCTTCAACAACAGCAACAAAACCCACAACCAAACAAACAAAAAAAAACATTGAAAGGGGCTTTAGAAATGCATTTCATTCCTGGCAGTGTGGGCCTGTGAGCCCAGCTGCTGAGGCAGGAGGATTGCAAGTGCAAGACTAGCCTAGGCCACAGAGGCCTACCTTGTCAGACCCTTCATTTCACAGATGGTCTATGAGAGTCTCTGCTTCCTTCTCAGTAGCTGAGCCAGAGTTAAGAGCCTTTCTTCAGACTCCAGAGTGACAGGCTCTTGGGGTTCAGAAGGAGCTGACCCTCCTGTTCAGGTTTTGTGTGAGGTTCACAGGGATGGCATTGGGTCTTTCAAAGGCAGTTTCTTAAGCGAAGACAGCCGAGTACCGGCCAGTTCTGCTTAAGGAGCAGCAACCAGGATAGCACTGGGAGGAAGTGGGGAAGGTCACCCTCCCTTGCTCTTGCAGATGGTCTTAAGAAGACTAGTTAAAATTTAGCTTCCAGGAATGGAGAGATGACTCAGTGGTTAAGAGCACTGGCTGCTCTTGGAGAAGACCTGAGTTCTATTCCCAGCACCCACATGGCGGCTAACAACTGTCCATAACTCCAATTCCAGGGACATCTAACACTCTCTTCTGACCTCTGAGGGCACTGCATGACATGGGTGCACTTATACATGCAGTCAATACACTCATACACACAAAATAAAAAAGGGAACAGAACTTTTCTTATTCCTTAAACCAGTTTTTTTATGGTACAAGTACATGGTCATTCAAAAAGCCAAATCAGTGGACTGAAGAGATGACTAGGCGGTTAAGTGCCCGTGCTCCCATAGAGGACCTGAGTTCAAATCCCAGCACCCACGTCAGGGAGCTCACCTGTTACCCTAGCTCCAGGGGGCTTTGGCACCCTCCTCTGTGGAGATGTACACACACATACACATAAATAATAATAGTAATAATGAATCTTAATAAATAGTCAAACCAAAAGCTAATTGTAGCACATGCCTGTAATCCCAGCACTTGAGAGTCAAAAGCAGGAGTTTGTGGGTTCTAGGCCAACTTGGACTACACAGTGAGTTTCAGGCCTGCCTTAACTGTATAAGCAAGACCTGTGCAAAAGCAAACAAAAACCCCAAAGTAAAAGCAACATGGAAGTATTATTACACACACAGGGGAGGGGTAAGGGAGTCCATAATAACTTGTTTCCCTATGTGTCAGGGATTGAGGTTTAAAGGTACTTTTCAGTTGAGTAGCTAATTGTTCCAACACTGTATAAACAGCACATCTTTATTCTCATTATGTCTCTCTTTTTTTTTTTTTTTTATCTTTTTGAGACAGGGCCTCCCTGTAGCCCCAGCTGTACTGGAACTCACTATGTAGACCAGGCTGGCCTAGAACTCACAAACATCCACCTGCCTCTGCCTCTGCCTCCCAAGTGCTGGGATTGAAGGTGTGTGCTACCACGCCCAGTGATATCACTGTTACTGTAAGAGCAGAAAACATAAATTTTATGTACAGTAAAAACACGGAGATTCATGCCATGCTGTAGCCCCAAACTGAACTGAAGTGTTCTAGGTAGCTTTGGTTGGCACTCTATGACAGGAAGGCACTCACAGTACAGTTTTCATGTTGTGTGTTCAGAACTCACATTGCAATGAAATTGTGAAGTGTAACTCAGAAAAGCACTTTCAGAAACACCTCAAATTCATTACCCATTTGATTTTGAGTCAGTTTTATTGCAGTAAAAGATTGCCAAATTTTTCATGAGACCCACATTGAATTACTTGACTAGAAATGAGGTCAGAGCCACCCTTTATGAAGCTGGGCTTCTCAAAGTTCCTCTCTACTTCATCAGCCTTTGGCAGCTGCTTCCAATCTGCAGCAACTTACAGGCACCTCAATGCTGATCCACACTTTGGCTTACTAGTTTATTTCCCTTTTTTAATCCTTTATTTTTTTTGAGAACTGGGATTAACTCAAGAGCTTTGCTTAAGTCAACAATGGCTCTGCATCTCACTACCAACTGTCTACAGTTTGGTTTTGGGGGTGTTTTGTTTTTCTTCCCTTTTTGTTCTTGAGACAGAGTCTTCCCAGATGGCCTGGCTCTCACAGAGATCCCCCAGCCTCTGCATTTTGAGTGCTGGGACTAAAGGCATGTACTACCATGCCCAGCAAGTACCTACTTTAAATCAGAGCTCTAAGCTCTATGCATAACCCTTGGTACCAAGCAAACAAAATGAATGAATTAAAATTTCAGCTCTGCTATTAGCAATGGCATTATACAAGGAATTTAATTTCTGTGCCTCCATCTCCCCATTTATAAATGAGGGTTTAAAGCCAGGAGTGGTAGCAAGGTTGTAATCTCAGCAATTGGGAACTGGAGTCAAAAAGATCAGTTGAAAGCCAACCTTAGGTACAAAGGGAATTTATAGATAGCCAGGGCTACATAAGACTCTACCTCAAAAACACAAAACTAGGCAAGGCACAGTGGTACCCCGAATTTAATTCCAGGACTTGGGAGGCAAGTGGGTCTCTGAGTTCCAGCCCAGACTGATCTACATAGCAAGTTCCAGGCCAGTCAGGGCTACACATATTAAGATGTAGTTGGGACAATGGAAGCTGGTTCTCACCTTCCACCATGTGGGTCCTGGGGATCAAACTCAGGCTTGGCAGAAAGCACCTTTACCCACTGACCATCTTGCTGGCCTCCAAACTTATTTTTGTTTTTTATCTTTTTGAGACAGGGCCTCCCTGTAGCCCCAGCTGTACTGGAACTCACTATGTAGACCAGGCTGGCCTTGAACGCACAGAAATCCTCCTGCCTCTGCCTCATGAGTGCTGGTATTAAAGGCATGCACCATCACACCTGGCTCATGTCTCTTAAATTTTTTGCTTATTTACTCTGTGTGTGTGTGTGTGTGTGTGTGGCGGGGGGGTGGGTCTCACATGTGGAGGTCAGAGGACCCAGCATGTAGGGTCCTGGGGATCGAACTCAGGTTATCAGGCTTAGTGCTAAGCACCTGTACCCACTGAATCATCTCATTGGTCCTCTACCACTTAAAAAATATTTTATTTGCTTATTATTTTTATTTTACCCCCCTGCCTCTGCCTGCTGGGATTAAAGGTGTGCGCCACCACACCCAGCAATTTTTTTTTAAACTACTTTTTAATTTTATGTATATGAGTGTATTGCCTGCATGTAGATAAGTGCACCCATGTCGTGCAACTCCAGTGGAGGACAGAAGAGGCTGTCGGATCCCCTGGAACTGGAGTTACAGACAGTTGTTAGCTGCCATGTAGGTGCTGGGATTCGAACCTGAGTCTTCTGCAAGAACAGCCAATGTTCTTAACTGCTGAGCCATCTCTCCAGCCCTCCCTCCCCCCCCCCTCTTTCTTTCTTTATTTATTTGACAGGGTCTCCCTAGTCCCAGCCTGCTTAGAACTCACTATGTAGACCAGGCTGGCCTTGATCTCTGAGATCCAGCTGCTGGGATTAAAGGTGTGCACCATCACGCCCAGCTTTATTTATTATTTTTATTTTATGTGTATGAGTGTATTGCCTTCATGTGTCTCAGAGGTCAGAAGAGGGTGTTGGATTCCCCTGGAACTGGCCGGATGGTTGGTTGTTAGCCACTATGTGGGTACTGAGAACTAAGCCCAGTGCTCTTAATAACTGAGCCGTCTCTCCAGCTCCCGCTTCTACCTTTTATATAAACTACTACCTAAACTTGCTTTGTGCTCTGTAATGCTGTATATGAGTTGAAAACAGCAAAGTCCAGTGGCTCCCTTCTTAGCTGATAGAGAAGTGGTCCACAGCTAGTGTGACCCTTCAAGCATTTCTTTACTCCTGCAACCACTGCTTCTATAAAAGAGGGTCCTCCGAAGATAAGCCAGCTGGCTGTGAGCCCAGTGGTGACCATCCTGGAGAGCCACCCCTGGAGATGTGTCTCGGGACTGCAGTCCCTGAGACTGTGTTATACCTCTGCATTCTCATCTCCAGAGCTTTCCATCCTGCATAGTATTTTCCATCTCACTGAACAAAGTAAGCCAAAGAACCTGCTCAGGATTTGTGTATAAAAAAGGTTGTGTGTGTTAGGAAATCACGTCAAAGCAGCGTT